GCACCAAAACAGGGAACCTAAACAAAAACAACCTACCTCAGCCCAGCACCCAGTACCATTTCCCCAAAAACCCTCCACAGGACAGGCGGACAGACCCTGCTAAAAGGTCGAGCCCTGGCTAGCTTGTGCGTATGAGTCGTCCAAGCCTCAGAGTAGGCCGCTGTTTTTATCCTGTCAAGGTATGTTAACACCAGGCCACAATCCTGTAGTCCCTAAATTGCGGTGTTAGATTACAGAGGGCACACACAAACACGGAGCACTTAAAAGCGAGAGGAGAGGCGTTGTATGACGAAGCAGTGGGCAAAGCGGCGGCAGCAGCAGCAGCAACAGGCGGTGCACATGAAGGGTTGACACCTGCCATTTACAGTGGAACTGCAGAAGCTTAGCATGAGGTGGAGTTGAAAATGAGATCATTAAGGCTGCGGTTAAACAAAAACATTTCATTTCTCCTCTGCTCTTTTAAAAACACAGGAATAACTGTCTTATTAACTTATTAACTGTTCTGTGTATGCTGCTCCTACTCACTTAAATGTACACTTTAATGTGTGGCACAAATATTATTCAAGTAAAAAATAAGTCCAGTCAGGGAAAAGTGAAAGTTTTGGGCATCCTTGCAGACCTATATCAAGTTGACTCTCATCATTTGCGAGGCTTTTATACTGGCATGTTTACAGTTTCTGCCTGGTGGGAAATCATCTCTATAAAAAAGCAGAGTAAGGCCAGCTGACTGTCAACTATCACTATACCAGGCAAGTTAGGGTTTGTTTGTTAAGATAGTGAGAAAAAAAAAAAACATGTGAATTTGGGTAGTACAACATAACAGCTCAGGGACACTAGAAAATGAGCCCCAGGCCTCTTTCAAGCAAACTCCAAGATGGCTCATTATGAAAGGGATCAGAACTCCAGGAAATGACTCCAAAACATAAGGTTTTATGGGTATGAAAAGATGGATGTCAACATCTGACTGCCAGTGATGCTCCTGTATAAAAAATGTTCAAGGACAAAATCTGAGCTGTTGCTCACATACAGCCTTTTCTTTCATGTGCTCCTAACTAGTTTAAATACCAGAGGAGGTATTACAGCAAAGAGCACAGACAGTGTTTATCTTGACTTTCATGGAGTGGGAGTAAAACTCTGCCTCTTACCAGAGAGGATCCCTAATCCATCTGATAACAATCTACTAATGATTTTGTTAGAGGTTCTGCTTCACTTAAAGCACGACTGTGAAACTAAACAACAAAGAAAAAAAAAAGTTAAAACAAAACAAAACACATATTTTCTTATAATGCAAAACTGTTATTAACCTAGGTGGATGTAATTTGGGGACAACTGTGAAAGTCTGTGTAATACTTTACCTTACAATGTTCTCAGACTCTCATCCATAATGTGGCTGCCACGATTAATCGAATGACAGTAAATTAATGGACAACTATTTTGATAACTGATTAATGGTTATAATCCCTTTTCAGGCAAAACTGCCACAATTCTGATATCAGCATTTGCTACTTTTCTCTGTTTTATATCACTGTATGGTAAATAGACTGCACCTATATAGCTTTTATAGTCGCATCAACCGCTCAAAACACTTTACAACAGTTGCCACATTCACTCATACACTGATGGAACATCAGGAGCAACGTGAGGTTCAGTATCTTGCCCGAGGACACTTTGACACGTGAACTGGAGGAGCTGGGGATCGAACCTCTGACCTTCTGAATAGTGGGTGAGCCGCTCTATGTCCTGAGCCACAGCTGCCCAATCATAATATAACCACAGTATGATTATGTTCTGTTGTCATGCAAAAAAAAGCACTTTGAAGTTGTCATCTTGGAGTTTGGGAAACCAATGGCAATGAATGAACCAATAATCAGATTAAATCGATAAGGAAAATAATAATTGCATCCCTAATGCATAATATACAAAATTAAGCAAAACTCTGAAGTGAGGACAAGACATATGTCTCTGGGACATGTGAGACATTCAGAGCAGAGCTTAAACAAGTTGGTGATTAATTGATTAGTCAATTAATTAATTGGCTATGACAATCAATTTCTACAAAGCAAGAAATATAAACGTGCCATCTCGAGTACTGGGAAATTATAATGAGCATTTTGCACAATTATCACTGATTCATTGAGAAAATTTGAAGATTAACTGCTAAATAATTGTTAGGAGGCTCCATAATGACTAAAAGCATTAAAATGCATAAAGTGAAAAGTATCTATGGTCACCTGAGGAAGATCACCTGTTATCAGAAAATGCTTGGGTCAGTGGGATGGGCTGTAATTTAACATAAATCTACAGTGTGTTTACTCACTTTCTAACACATGGCAGAGAGTTTGTCCACCTTTAGATTGGCATATATGTTCATGAGTTGGACTTATAGAGCACACAGTCATTACTATCTTGTAATGTGAGCATAGGAACTGCTGAGGAAATGACAAACAAAAATGAAAGCTTCTGTGAGAGTAATAATAAATTGTATCAGCAGCCTCATCATGGTGATGACAGACTGGAGGTCATGGGACATTAGCACAGGCTAATGTTTGGCACATCAGCTCTTTTGAAATTCAAAGAGGTGAACGGGCTGTGAACGAGCAGTCTGTGTCATGTGGATGAAAACTAATAAAAAAAATACACGTTTGAAGAGAGGCAGGTTGAAAATGAAACAAAAACGAGAGAGATGAGTTCCACTTGAAACTGATCAAAGCGGTGCGCACTGAATCACCGTTACACGCACCAGGCTGCGCGCCTTTCACATTATAATCTCATCTAATGTTATATTTCCTTAGAGATAAAACTAAACGAGACGCTCGGAATCATTCCCATCAAGTAGCGAGAATATCACGGGGAAATCGGTTAAAATACACCTTCATAGGTGTTGCATCACCTTGCGTACCTGGCTGTCTCCGGTCCAGAAAAAAGCAGCAACCCCGCCTTCACTGCAGTAATGGTACTGACCGCCATTCCCTTCCGCACACCGCTCAGGAAATTGTATAACGAATTACCGCAACACAATAGATGGAAACGAAAGGTTTGACGATGAGCCCTGATCAGCGCTGTTAATGCACACGGTGGGGAATAACAGAGGAATAATCACTTTATGAACCGCTCATTTTCCTGGGCACACACACACAGACACACACACACGGGTCTGCAGGGTGCACTCGACCAAACGAGTCAACCAATCCACAAAAAAATACATAAAAGGAGAGATAAGACATGCACAAGTGGGTCAGAAATGCGTGTCGATGAGATAAATCCCGCGAGAGTGAAGGGGGCGAGCATCCATGCGAAGCTTGGTACACGGTACACGGTGAAAACTACAAAAAAAAAATCATGTCTACCTGCACAAGTTGACATTTGGAGCGGTTTTCCTGGCTCCTCACGAGACACAGAGCATTTAGGAAACGGCGAGCAGATCCTGTTCCGTTCACGAGCGAGAGCCGCAGGTGTTATTTGTGTTTATTTCCAGGCCATTTGTCAGACCCGTTATCCTCGTTCAGGTAAACATGATGGTGATGATGGTGATGATGATGATGATGATGGCTCCTGTACGGACGCACAGAGTCACCGTCGTGTCGTCAGCAGGAGGAGAGAAAAAAAGGTGCTTTCCAGCCCCTCGGCTCACACACATCATGCCTCATAACGGTGTCCAAAAATATATATATATTTATGGGTTTACTTTTTTTATTGGCTGATACGATGTAAGAGGGGGGGAGTACAGGTAAGAAACCGGCCAATGAGAGACTCTGCCTCCAAAGGGTTGTCTAAATTTAAAGCTACGTGTAAATTTCTATTTTTATATTCTTTACTTCATAACAGGTGGACTCAAAAATACTCGTATTGAAAGGGAAATGCCTCAGCCCTGAAACACCTAGTCTGAGATCATGTTTATAACTATATCATGGAGGTAAAATCCCTGCAGGTGACATGAGAGGGTTATTACAGCTATATTAAAACAGAAACAAAGTAGGATAGTGAAGTTTTGTCAACACTGGCAACCAAAGACATGCTATAAGTCCATATATCTCCTTCTCCGTGTATTTTCAGCACGTGCAACGGTTCACAAACCCGATTTTACAGGTGCAAAAAGCAACAGTGGAGAATGTGCACTGGGAGCAATATGCAGGACAATCGACAAAAAACCCACGCCGATTAACAAAAAATGCTGGATTTATGAAGCTAAACTGGAGCGGATATTAAGGAAATGCATGCAAGCATGAAGATAAATTTCCCAAATCTACTTTTGGAGAATCAACAACACAATTTCCACTCTTACCTTAACTATATGCGAACATGTGGTGTTGCAGTTGTAGCAGGGAGGGGTGAACTGGAGATAAAATAAACATCCCATCGCTTTGCCATCACCGGAGCAGCAGTGAAGCCGACCAAAGCCCATGCAGAAAATCCAATGCATTCGCCGCAAAAGCACGATTTACCGTCCGGCCATTAAAAACAAACAGCTGAAGTTGACTTATTTTGAACGGGAGCTAGAAACTGAACCGTCCGGGGCCGAGTGAGCAGCAAGTTAGCATGAAACTAATCCCGTAACAACCTCGCCCTAAAAATTTCATCCACTACTAAACTACAAACTGCGCTCAACGGGCCACGTTGTTATGTGAAAGCCCCGTAACCTGCCGCCAAGAGTTGCCGTGGGTGGAAAAGTGGCTGAAAAGTACAGAAACAAAGAGGGAGAAAGTGTAGAAAACTAAAAAATACAGACAAGTATGAAGCGCTCCTCGGGTTATTATAACAGACGGATAACGGTTCACTCAGTCAGGCGGCCCCGTGCACCGCTAGGCGGAGAGAGAGAAGCCAGCCAGGTATAACGGTACACCACCACACTGGTATATGAACACACCAATACTCCCCAAAACTCCCCGGAACGTGCTCCAACTCACTCCCAAAAAGTCTCCAGAAGGAGTTTACCGAGTAAAAAGCTTGCCGGAAGCCCGCCCGGGTCGCTCATCGGCGGTTACGGAGGAGTTTGGACTTACCGCTGCTCCTCTTCGGGTTCGCCTGTTTTCTGCGCTTACACCTGGGGCCATCCGCCATGATCCTCTCGCTGAGTCTGAAACGCAGCCGCTCGCGAGTCACCTCCTCCCTCCCCCCTCCTCCTGTCTCTCCTTCCTCCTCCTCCCTCCTCACCCTTCTCACCCCTCCCTTCCCCTGTCCGCTTTACGACATCACCTTCCCCCAGCAAAAACACCTGGTTTGCGACACACTGGCCGCTTTTACGGTATCACCTTCTCAAACACCTCAGCACCACATGGCCCCTCCTACTGGCCGCACGTGGCTGTGTGGTGGTCCCATAGCTCTGTAGGGGTCGAACGGGGACTCACACGGTCGCTGTTCCTCCTGACTGGTCAAAAAAACGAAAATATAACAGCAAGGTGTTTCTCTGCAGGTGGAAGTGGAGAAATGTGAGTAGAGAATAGCTAGAGGGTAATGTGTCAGTGGAAGGTAGTGGAGGAAGTGTTCAAATCCTTTAAGTAAAAGTACCAGTACACCAGTGTAAAAATACTTCACCCTACTTAAGTAAAAGTAGCATACAGAAGCATTTTCAGCAAAATGTATTTAAGTATTCAAAAATAAATGTCCCTAGTCATTTTATTTTTTATGACAGTGACATGTTGGTACACTGTTTGTACTTTTAACTACTTTAGAGTCTATCCAAAATATTTTAGTCCAGTGGTTCCCAACCCTCCAAAGGGTCACATGATAACTCTCAGGAGTCATGAGATAATTAATGAGGGTTGGGAAGAAGAAAAAATAAGGTTGTGCTACATGTATTTGTAGTCATTTCTTGGACTTTTATTTTTCAAAATAATTTTATTAATTTGGAAATCAAACACTTATTTAAAGGAAACTACCAGAGAAGCTTAGAGGGTTAATCAGTTTTTGGAAGTGGTAAAAACTCATCTGAAGGAGTCACATGCCAAAGTGGTTGTGAACCGCTGGTTTAATCTTTAACAATGCATTGTACTTTTTGTGTCTTAATTTGAAAAGTAACTGGTAATTATGTCTGCCCGATAAATGCAGTGGATTAAAAGTACAATATTCCCCTCTGAAATGTAGTGAAATAGTAGGATAAAGTGGCATAGATAGAAATACTCAAGTACAAGTACCTCAAAATTGTACTTAATTACAGTGCTGCGTAAAGTATATGTAGGTCTAGTTACTTTCCAGCACTGGAGGAAGTATTCAGATCCTAAAAGAAGTCTTGAATTGCAAGTGAGAGTCAGTGATGGAGGAAGTATTCAGATCTTTTACAACAGTAAAAGTACTATAACCATGCAAAAAAAATACTTGTAGAACTTTTACTTTAAATGGAGCACATATGTACATATTACGTTTGTAATGAGGAAAATGTTCTTAAAGTATTAAAAGTAAGAGCACTACATGCAGAAAATCTTCACATTTGAGAATCTGGACCCATTAAATGTTTGGCATTTTTGCACAAGGATGATTTAAGATTATCAAAACAGTTGTCCTAATTTTCTGTCAGTCAATTAATCAACTAATCTTTTCTGTTTATATACTGATTGGTAGTTTAATCTATAACAACAGTTTTGTATGCAAAAAAAAAAAAAAAAAAGCCTTATACCCTTAAATATTTCACAATATTTCCCCCTGAAATGTCTTGGCGTAGAAGTTTTAAGTGGCATGAAAAGAATACTAAAGTGACATACAAGTATCTGTACCTCAAATTTGTACTTAAGTACAATACCTGAGTAAATGTACTTAGTTACATTCCTGCAACAGTGCATAATGTATCCTATTACTACAGATGTACTTCAGTATTAATATCACAATGTGATTAGATAGATGGATGGATGGATGGATGGATGGATGGATGAACAGACAGGTACAGACAACAGGTAACTACACAGCATGAGCAGCACAAAGGGTACCACACACAGAGACATTAGCAAACAATCTGGCACCTGACTGGGAAAAAAGGGCTGGTATAAATACTGGCGAGCAGATTAGAGAAGTGAGGAACAGGTGTGTAGGAAGGCAGGGAAGTTCCACTGATTGAACATGGTGAACATGTGAGCAGGTGGATCTGGAAACAGGAAGAAAGTCCACGGACGTCTGGACATCTGGTGGGCGGGTGGAGGATGATAGTCGACCAATAAACGGGGCTGAGACAGAAATAATGAACAGGGTGGCCTTGTTCTGTAAATTAATGTGTTGAAGTTCCATTGGTGTTAAAATGCAACATGTGACGCCTAAAAATGTCAAGACCCGAGTCCAGAAATACATGCTCACACTTACATAAAGTTCTGTTTTGTCCGCAGCAGGGACAGAAGTTCAATGACAGTTCACAGCAGGTCAGGGGAGTGGCCTTCACGGTCCTGACGAGCTATTCTTGTACCTGCCGATGATCAAGTTTCCAGCTCAGACACACCAGGTGCTGCGGTGAGCCTCTCACAGCCAGCAAGCCTCCTCCTGACACTGTGGAGAATGGGTGTGTGTGTGTGTGTGTGTGGGGTGGGGTGGGGGTGAAAGTACACTGCAGAGGATTAACAGGGGGACAGAAAGCATGAGATTATATGCATTGTTCAAAGGTGGTTCATTGTTGGGGTGCTGCATTCAGCTGCCTGACACAACAGTGACATGACAACATGAGTGAGCTCTGACTGGATTGTGCAGGTTTTATACAGGAGGGAAACATGGAGAGAAGTGCTTCAGTGATGGTGCAGCTCAGCACTTTAAAGTCTTAACCTTTAAATTTCAAGTACACCAAGGTCACGCATTCTTAGAACATTTGTAATCAGCAGCATGCTTATATGAAGTTCAATATTTTGACACAGGAGTGCTTTTCTTTAATTACTGTACCATTAAATGGAAATGATCTGATGCCTTCCAAGTCATTTTAAAAATATATGCCATTTGATCTTACTTAATACTCTTTACCCCACATTTGTCTGACAGTTATAGTTACAGTTACTGTGTTTTGTTTTTACATGAGCTTATAGAATATGCCTCACTGTTAGAGGTTCAACTGCACAACACTATATAAAGTAGTCCACATTAACTCCTCTTTGGCCACACATTAAAATGCCTCTTACACATTAACACATAATACAAATAATAAACTATATAATGTAAGACTCAGGGAGTGACCATTGTTAATAATGAGTACTTTAAGTTATAATGCATTTTGCTGCTAATACAAAATTGAATGCAGGACTTTAAAATGTAACAGATTAGATTTTACATTATTACTTGTATTTTTACTTAAATAAAGATCTGAATGAAGTGTGCTTCTTATTTATCCAGTCATCCTCAGAGTAGATAATAGACGAAGATCCAATATTAAAACTGGTAAGACGTGTAGTACACTGAGGATGCTGTGTGGGTGAATTTTTTCTGGTAACTGATTCATTCACTCATATGAAATACACTACGCAATTTACAAGTGATAACTCCATTGATAGCTGAGACTGTTTGAGAGAAAAAGTGATTCTAGCTTTGACAATCAATGAGTTTCTTTCTGGTTTTTCTTTATTGAATATGTTTGGACTTTGTTGGTTAGAAAAAGTAAGTTATCACTTTTGACATTAATTGGTCTGTGTAATTGTTTTACATTTTACTGACTAAATGTGCTCTGAATAGTATCACTTAGTAGATAAAGTGCCGTGTTTGGCTCAAATTGACCAGTTTAACAGCCTTTTCCACAGCAGACATTTTGACTTGTCAAAGCAGGAAAAGCACAGGTGTCACTAATAACATTAACGAGACCTCTGTTCTGTTCTGTTCTGTTCAGTGTCCTGACAGTGAGCCAGCATGTTCAATACCAGGAGCCTGGAACTGAACTCAGCCAACTTTAATGTTATTATTTACACCTGTGATATGTCAGAATAAGTTCTGTAATTGTTTATTTGATAAACAGAAAGTCAGTTACAATTTTGATTATTTATTAATTGCTTTTTGGTCAGAGCTTCACATGGGAATAAACCTGTTTTGTCTTTGTTGTGCAGGCTGAATGAGCTGGGACTTAATTGGCCAATTAGGCAGCAGCCAATCATATTGGGAGGTAATTACTGTCTTTCCAGTGGTAGCACACAGTTTTTGGCTCAGCCTGGAGAGTAGCAGGGGTTTGTTTTCCACATGTGTTGAGCTTCAGCTGTTCTGTGGCAGCATAAAGACCTTGGTTTCTATCTTAAAGAGACACTTTACGCATGTAACACATGAACACAAGTTCACTTTCAGGCTGTGAAGAGTTGAATTATCTGTGGCTCTGGTGGGAGCCTGAAAAAATATCCCTGTTGATTTCATCTGGCCTGCATTACAAACTCGGGTTGCTGAGATTGAAAGGTGTGGGCGTTCACCAGGCAGCGCTTGTCTAATGAAAGACACAAGTTGTGTGATGGGAAGTGTAGGATCCAATATTTTTGAAGCTAGAGCCACATTGAAAATAAAAATCAGGGTGTCTCGGCCTCTGCTGCTTCGATGTCTTTCTTACATCAGTCTTTTGAGAGTCCCCGAACCGTATGTGCGTAATACTCCTTTAAGCGTAAACACAGCAAAGGAAACGCATACGCAGACTAGAAGACATACTGTACACATTGAAGCCCTGTTCATGTGCATTCTTACTCTCCCTTCACTGCAAACATAATCTGCTCTAGATTCAAATGTAAAACCCAAATTATAAAATTATTATTATTATTATAATTTTTGATATGAAATCATTTCTATATAAATGGAAGTATATTTGACGTGGCTGGAAGGTTTTGTGTGTTACAGTCTCTTTCCTCAGCACCTACACACACACACACACACACACACACACACACACACACACACACACACACACACACACACACACACATTTATCATATCATTTTGGTAGATCTGTCCATCAGTTTGAACTAAACCCCCTGCGACACAGCAGTAATGCTTTAATTGAGTCTCCCACTGGCAGGATATGAAGGGCTATAGAGTCCTCTCCTATCTGGGGGGTCGTTGCTCTCCTACATTACAACGTCTCTACAGGCGATTGCTGTCCTGCTGCCTGTGAAGTGAAAGAGGAAATGGATGCCATT